GCAAGTTGCTCGAGAAAGGTTATCTGGGCTGCCCTGCCCCTTTCCATTAACCTGATCTGGATAAGCAGCTAGAAAATGGATGAAAGGATCTTATTATGTGACTGTCCAGAACTCACTACACAATAAAAATGAATGGGTTGGCCTCTGAGATTTTCAACAGTCAAAAAAAAACAAAAAACCCAGGTTATTTTCCAGTAAGGGTAGCTTTGATTTTTGGGTCAATTCTGTGCTCACTGGGAAACACGCTTCCATTGACAATCTCTGAGATTTGAAAAGCTTGCTCTGAGATTGCAATTGCAGAGCCTTTTGGGTTTATTAGTGGGGGATGGACAAGCATACAAATGCATGCACATATCCTTCCCAACTAAAGCCTTGGACGCACTACAAGACTTTGAGATCTCTGTACAGTTCACACTACGCAACTTTCAGTCTTGAAGTTGTTGTGGTTTGCACACCACGTGACTGATCAGCAACAGGGGGTCACACGCTACAAGATCTTTCATAACCAGTCTGTCTGCTCTACAAACTATGTTTCACAGGAGTCATTAAGAACACCATTAATAACAAGCACATCAGGTTTAATTTGGAAAGTAGTTTAAAAACAGGTACAAAGGGCAACCATAAGTAAAATAAGCTTATAATTAGGCCAGATCAGCCAGCGTCAGTAATCAGTACACATTATTAAAGCATTTGTCAAACTAATAACTACCAGCAGACAACATAATCAAACATTAATAGTTACCGTTGGAGTAGTGTGACAAAACATAAAAAATTCTACATATTATCAGTCAGAATTTTACTAAACGGTCCCTAAACCAAACTCCCTTTTAAAAATATAACATTTTAACAATTCATTTCTCACCAGTCAAAATGTTAATTCTTGATATCAACAATTAATTTCATCCTAGTGTTCATTGTAGATATCTTATTATTATATCTTATTATACATGTTATAATTTTAACCCTTGTATTGTCTTCAATTTTTGGACCCTCTGGTATCCCTCATGTCAAATTGACCCGGAACATATTTTATCTGAAATAAAAGTTTTGATTCATAAACCATTAACATATATTGTCTTTGTCTCGATTTCAATCAGTTGAGATAAAATATATGTTTAATGATTGCAATCAGTCTCTACTAGAACACAATTAACATTGAGAGTTTGTTTTTTTGTCAAAGGTTATAATTGATGATAAAAATCCACTATACTCAAGACGGTGTCATAAATCATGCTTATCTTGGAAAAAATTAATGAAGACCATTCAATCTGTCCATTCTTAGACAAATATGTATGTGGGGCTCTTCCAGTGTGTGGTGCTTCTTGTGGTGCATATTCCCAGTGAAGGCCATCTTCAAATTCACTTTTAGAATCAGAGTACTATTATATATAATATATATAATATAATATAATATAATATAATTTATATATATTATTTGTATATATATTATATAGAAATATAGCATATAATATATTATATATATTATATTATATATATATATGTGTATATATGCATATATATACATATACATAGATGTGCAGGTGCAAGACATATAGTGCGAGAAAATGTAAAAAAAAGGGGTCTGCAGGTGGACACATGACAGTGAGAGCATACAGCTTCTCCTTGCTTAGATTATAATAATGTAACATTAGCTGTGTGTGTGCGTGCGTGTGTGTGTGTGTGTGTGTGTGTGTGTGTGTGTGTGTGTGCATGTCTGCGTGTGTTTGTGTCTCTCTGTGTATGTGGGTCAAACTGACCCGAAGACCATATGAAGGATATAAATGTGTGGGGTATAGTAGCATGTGTGCTCAATTGTTTGCACATGTTTATCACAGAAAATAAGCTAAGGCCATTGAGTTTCAGGTAGAAAAAAATTATACTTATATAATTTTTCTTCTTGTAAACATTTTAAACCGGTCAATTTGACCCAAATACCATACAAGGGTTAAGTCAACATATTCACAATGTAATTGTAAAGATATTTTTATATATTTTTTTATGCCTTTATTTTGATAGGACAGGTGAAGATAGACAGGAAAGGGGGGAGAGCGAGAAGAGGGACAACATGCAGAAAAGGGCCACAAGTTGGAATTGAAAGCAGCCCTGCACCCCATCCACAATGGGGGACAATTAGCTCTACATATCTAAAATTTACCTCTGACAAGTAAAAACTAAATTATTGATACGCTGGCTTGGAAAAATATCTGAAATACAGTTATAACTAGTGAAAATTTAATTTGTACTAGTAACAATTATATTTGAGATATCTACAATAAAACTTAATTTTAGATTTCAAAAAAAGAATTTCCATTTGTCAAAATGTCATTGTAGATATCTTCAATGAGGTATGTATCCAAAAGAATATGCTAATTGGCAACGTATCCGAAATGATTTGTTGACATATCTGAAATGTAATTGTTGATATCTGAAAAGGGTCTAGTCACAGTCCGTTTTTAAACATTTATCACATGTTAAATTCTATTGTAGATATCTCTAATCATTATTCTAACTAGTGAAAAAGGATATCCTGATATAAAGATATCTGAAAATCACTTTTGACTGAAATGTATTTTCTACCTGTGAAGATATGTATTATAATATTTCAAAATGGTTTCAAGACATGACAGACTATTGACATACATTTTGTCAAAGCCAGTTACGTACGTTTATGTTATGCTCGTTTAAATCTAAAAGTCAATTATCTTAATAGCTGGGATTCTTCCTCTTCTTGAGGTTGGTCGATTCAATCATATTCCGGAGGAAACCAGATTGGGGGAGCTGTGGGATTTGGGTGAAGTGGAAAGTGACTCATTTTCTTTTGTACTGCATAAATTATGATTATTTAAGAGAATTAATGCTCCTTGAAATCATGCAACAAAACCTGAAATATTCTGATGTCCTGATGAACAAAAATTAAGTTTACCAACGTTGTCTTAAAGGCCTGGAAAAGAAGGCTTTTTGGATTTGTTTTGCTGTGCTCTGGTCCTGGCTGAATCTCATGTCTTGTAAGTCCATGCAGGCTAGGCATATTGCACGCATGACACGATAATAAAACTTAATTCATTCATTCATACAAAAACATGAAGGGTTAGTCCTGAAACCTGAGCAGAACAGTCAGGTAACTTAGACAGACTGACTGTGTTCCAGTACTTAATGGACGGGCTCAGCTGTCTGGAGCAGATAACCACATAAAGAAATATCTTGTCATAGCACATCTGCCCCTCCCCTACTGTTACACTTTGAATGTCACCATTGAAAAAATAACATAAACAATCAAAGGTCTTAATGAAAGCATTTAGAGCGACTACGAGAAGTCTGCAGAGAGGGAAGCAGCCACTAGAAAGCTGTACCTGAAAGAGAGATTGCGGAACATGGATTTTTAAGGGAGGCAGGGATAAAGAGTGGGGTCAAGCTGCCTGAAGAAAAATCAGGTACCAGGGAGGTCCAGCCCATTTCCAATGTTAAGAAAAGAGACAAACAAGGTTGCACCAAGATGCGAACCCTAACATCAACCTTAATCCATCTCCCACCCATCTTGCATGAGCTGAAGCCCAAGATGAAATTAGTTCACACAGTTCTTCCACCCATCTCCATCAAGTCAGCACATCACACTAAAGTCTTCATGACTGGAACAAGTCGTGACTAAGATTCAATTGCTTCAGAAAAGAAAAGAAAAAAAGAAATACTGGGGGGAAATTTTCCCTGTGATGATGTGCTCATTGCCAAGCTTTCTTCCATTCTTCCAGACCACAGTTCCACTAGTAAAAAAAAAAAAAAAGGCTCAGTGACATCTGATCACCAACTTGCTGCATAGGGTGTCATGGGTGCTTGATTGTTTCACACTGTGGCCTCACACAAGGTCCTGGGTCCAGCCCAGTTCTTTGTGTGTGGAGTTTCACGTCCTCCCCATGTCTGCCTGGGTTTCCTCCCACACTCGGGCAAATTTGAACATCCAAATTGTCCACACAAAAATGACATATATATATATATATATTTGTTTTATAGCTAAGGGATTGTGTATAGCCTAGGTAGGCTATACACAATCCCTTAGGTATAAAACAAAATATATATTGTTACATACAGTTTCAGTCAGAAATATTCAACCCCCTCACCCCCCAAAGGCTTAATTATGTTTCAACTCCCCTTTAGGCTTAAAAACAGCAAAATTATATAGGGGCTGAATAATGACATGGCTATCTTAACAAAATATACTCTTACAAACAAAGACTACATCGTGCATTTTCTGTGTTGATTTTATGTATCACTCAACTCATAAAGAAGTCATCCAAAGCAGAATCTTGCTCTTTGAAAAAACTTTAATTGATAAATCCTTAAAATCTTTGGGGGGGTTGAATATTTCTGATTGCAACTGTATATGTAAAGTATGCCTATAAATCTGTGGATATTATTTGGAGACTGGAAAAAACTGTCATAATTCTCTATAGTCTTATTTGGCAGAGACATTTCTTCCTCAACAGTCAGTTATTGTAGCTAACATCAGCTGGGCTAATACATGTCCAAACCAAACTAGTGCTGGTGATTGTTGTTGTTGTTGTTGTTACAAGCTGTATTCACAGAGCCTTCACTTTCTGCTAATACTGAACAATTAGGCCAAGCGTCAGGAAAAAGAAAACACAGAATTTGTCAGAAATTCGCATTTTAAAAATACATGAAGACTAAAAGTTGTGTAAAACGTTCCTAAAAATATCAGGAAAACGAATGTTTGTTGCAATATTCCCAGGAAACGACCTGCTCAAAATTGATCCAAATTGCTGGTTTTACAAAAACTTCCGGCAGTCAACTGCAAATTCTATCCGTTGTTCTGCACTGTAATAAATGTCCAAAAAATATATCACTTAGTCCACTCGTCAGTTTACTCGATGATAGAAAAGGGGTCCCATTAAGGAAAAAGCTTGGGGACCACTGTCTCATGATATCCATTGTCCTTACGGGAGTAGAGGGCAGTAAGAATTCAAAAGGAGCCACACAGACACAGAGCCTGCTGTATCAGCGATCAGTTTATTTAAAATCTGGTGAAAGTGAAGCACCCAGTTTCATCAGGACAGAGGCAGTCTTTTTACACAACAGTGGCTTTCACACTGCAGCACAGGGGGCATCACTGCATGTCCTACCAATGGCACAAAGGTTGATCACATACATCCAGAGTGGCAGAAGAGAGAATGCATATTCATTACAGAGAAGCAGGGCCAACCCCGTCACTCAACATAAATACTGGAAGGTGTTGAACCAAACTGCTTCAGAGTGGTGTTCATTCTTAAATAGTCTGCCTTAACAAATAAATGCTGATAGTTTCTGTACACACTATACATGATCAGTGTTTTCTTTGTACAAGTAAATCTCTCCAAATATATATAAAATAATTACTGCCTGGATTTGGGTGGGCCAGGCAAACGTGATGTATGCACTTCTTGGCTTTCAGTCCACCAGCTAGAATAAGACTGCTACCAGATCCAAATACATTGTTTCCACTCACTCAAGTAATAATTGCATCATCTGAATGGTGGGGCTGGTGTGTCACACTGTTACCACACCCATTTTGTTTAAAACCTAACCTATAAACTGAAGATATTTCAACATAAATGCAATTTTAACAGGACAGTACAGCATCTGGGGGTTTTACATCAAAACCATAATTAGAGGGTTGATATCTATTTGAAGTCTTGACATCCGGTGCAATGATCGATCTGCGTGTTTAGCCTAGCTTAGCACAAAGACTGGAAACAGGGAAGCTGCTAGCGTCAAGGCTAGAAAAACAGATTGATGAGCTCAAATTCCCCAAACTTCCTGGTGAGAAACACTAAATTGCCCAACATTGATTTAACTTAAAGAAAGAAATCCAAAGATGATAACGCTAATATTCCAATCCACAATAAAACCCTACTATGTGTTATTTGACTGTATTTGTAGAACAGAAAGTCACTCTCAGTATTTTTTCTGGGGATTTGTGGATTTTAAAAACCGACGACATGACTTCAATGTCCTCAATGGTAGGTACAGCACTAGCTCGTAATGCAGCACCATAAGTGAAAACAAATATGCAAAAGCTTCAAAACTAACTTATTTACATCTAAATAGTTACAGCAGCAAGCTAGTCACTAATACAGTGTTGTTCACGGTGGAGTTCTGTCCACATTCTGCCTAAAAGAGGACTCCAGCAATAATACATGCAGTCACTGTCACAGCCCATAAGCGAGCTTTTCGCAAAGCTTTTTACATTTTATTCCAGCAAGTGTTCAATAAATAAGATACAACATGTAAATAACATAGCTTTGGACTTGCTAAGAAGCATCATTTTTCTACTGTCCAAGGAGCGAGCTAACAATTTCCCCCTGCTTCTAGTTTTTGTGCAAAGCTTGGCTAGACACATACTGAATGCAATGGGATGAAATTGATATAATTCCACTCATTTGACTCTGGGTAACAAAAACAAAACCACAGTATTTCCCCAAATGTGTATTACTGTTTATGTATATAAAGGATAATTAGTTTAAATAACATTTGTATGACACAGGGAAATATAAATAAATATTACTTTGCATATTATTTACCATGGCTGATATACAGTATATGGCATATAAACCGGTCAAATATAGTTGTGGGATTAAAGACCAGTTGTCTGCGTATTACTTTGGTTGTAGGGCGTAAAAGCAAAGCACTTCACTACAATCTATACCACATGGACATCACACCACATTCAAACAGGAGTATAAGGCACAAATATTGACTAGTAGCATGTGCTTAACAGAAAACTTCAAGTTTTTTTTTTTTTTTCAAGAAATGAAATGCTTTTCAAGCACTTCTGCCACATTGCAACTGTGGCTTCATATATTACAAAAATTAAATAATCCAGGAACAGCAATATATTTTTCACAATCATACAATTACTGCAACATTCCACACCCAATAAGCAATATGTTGTTTTTCTCTGTCTCAGTTACATCAGTGCTGAGTGTCACCTGTGTGTGTTTGTTGTTTAAGAGCAACACTGACAGCAGGTAACCTCAAAAAGCTGACTTAGTGTGTTGTTATTGTCTGTAAAGATGTGCTGGCTCTGGAGCAAAATATGTAAAAACAAAATCAGAATGAAATATTAAAACCCCTGAGTTACAGGACAAATACTGAGGTCACATAGAGTATTTACACTGTGTCATTTTAACGTACAGTACTCAGTCTGTAGGTAAGTACGTATGTAGGTGGCTGCAGTCAAACATCAGTAACAGAGAGAGTGAATGACAACTGGGAAACATGCAACATCATGAAAGCAATATGGAACCAGTGACCTTGCAACTTTGTCATTTAGCTTTGGAGACAAAAGTCACTCATTATTTCCTTAAAATTACACAAACAATTACAAACAAGAAGAATGACCTGTATGACCAAAGCATTCACAATTATCTGTTCATCTAATTGGCATTAATATTGGCCTGCTGACTTAAAAAGGTTTTCTTTACTTGGCCACAATAAATTGTTGAAAAATCTTAACCAAAAACCACAACTATAAAACACCCTGTTTCATTTAGAGGGCAGATTTAAACAGAAAGTGACCTGGATCAAGCACGTGTTAGATCTGCTGACTTTCTACCGATCTAATCCAACAAAAGTCTCCACTAAAGTCGGTGTTGTATCATATGTTCGATTTAAAAGGCACCTATCATATCCATCTGTAGGGTGAAACAGGAGCACTTCTCCATACTATGCTATCGAAACATTTTAAATGGATCTGTTGCGTTCGACTGAAAGAAAATGATTTTCAAACTTGGGATTATTGTTTTTGACATTTTTTCCCAAGCAAATTACCCAAGAGTCACTGGTTTCAGGTTCTCCAATGTGAGGATTTCCAGCATTTCTTGGTTTTATATCGTAAATTGTATATCTCTGGATTTTGGGCAGTCTGCGTGTTGTTGATTTTATACCTTGGGTGTTTTTTCGCATGTGCAAATTAAAAACAAACGTTGCCCCAGTAGGCTTTTTCGCAAGTTCTCACATATTTTTTTGGGGATGAAAACATGTTGTCAGTGAATCTCTGGTGCAAGGACAGTTGATGGTGTGTTTCTTTTCAACATGAGCTCACCATGTGTGATTTTGCGCTTGGCTTGCAGCAACACAAATGAGCTTGTGATACTTGCATTAAGGTTTGACTGGACACTATATGAAATAAGGCTGTGTTCTCTCCTTTGTTTTCACCTTTAAAGCTCCTATTACCTCCAAACACAACAGCATCAAGTATGATTTTCTAGAATTAAATCAAACTGGCTCGATGTTGACAGATGCCCTCAGAATGACCCTCATGCATTACAACAGTCCATGATTGCTGCACATTCTGACAAGGCACTGACCAAGGCCCTGATCTTTAATTATCTTACCAGCTAACGTGAGTATGAGACTATCAAATCTTCTTTCTCAGTTTCCAATAAGGGTCTTCACACTTTCTTTGTCCCTTTTTCGTTGTCCTAACAAGATGTTCAAGGGAGAACTGCTCACAAATGTTGCTTTGTTTTGTGTTTTGCATCCACTACCAAGGCATATTTCTTAGTCTTGCGTGCTTGGCAATACTTAAGTGGTGATTCATATTCTGGGAAGATGAAGCAGCTTTACTGCAACGACCCTGATTTCAAGTGTCCAACAAAAAAACAAAAAAAACAACCCGATAACTAAAAAGTCTCACGTTCAATAATCCGGTGACTAGGAGTCTGTAGTTGTTTGTGTTCAGCCAGTTAACGCAAAAAACTCCTCACCCGGTACAACTGCTTTATTTACTGACCGCTAAAAGAAGATCTTGTCTGTGATACAGACGCGGGCAGGTCAGCAATCTCCTACAGCATCTGACCTGACTCTTATTCACTTTGGGGCAGTGTCTGCTGGCAAGCACTTCCCTCCCCTTACTTCCTCTGTGACTGTGGATGATGAAATGAGACGACCCCAGGGTCACTGTGTGAAGCTCTTCTTGATGGCCACGTTGGGGAAGAGGCCCGAGAGCTCCTGGACGACCCGCATGTCTATCTGCGAGCAGAAGGAGACATCCAGGAGGAGAAGCCGTGGACAAGACTGGAGGAGTTTCTTCAGCGAGGCAGCACTCACCAACCGTGTACCTGTCAATTAGACAAGTCACAACAGGGACAAGAAGGCAATGTAAAAGATGTGCTGCAAAAAAACAACCTGAGCAGAATAATACAGGAGAAATACAACCATTTATTACATTTCTATGTTTGGAAAGATCTGAAAAAATAAACTGTATCATCAGATTTCTGTGTAAATAAAAATTCTGCCAATATGTTATTGGCTATGTATGTTTACAACAGGTACATGTAATAGACAAACACATTAGAGTCCAGACCCAAATAACGTGCTTTATGTTTATTACTTGATGTATTATTCAGCATAGAGACCACCCGAACTACAGTAACAGCCTCACAACTGACACATCAGCATAGCCAGCTTGAACACTTGTCATGCTACTGTGCTGCCGAGCCCATCACCTTATGCAACTGGAACTATAGTGTTTGTGCACAGCACTTACTGCTGTGGGGTGCTGTTGCAACTTTGCCTAGTGAGCAATATTTTATTCATATTAATATTAAGCAGATTATTTGGGTTTTTGTTTGCAGTTAACTTGGGAGTTTTTCAGAAATTCTCAAATGCAAACTTGGGATTTGGGTTGCCACAGACATGTCCAATGTAAAGTGATGATTCAGTTATGACCATGCATTATGACCACCCAAATAAAAACGTTTCTCATGGTCAGTGACTGGTATGCATTGAGTGATGATCATACCAACATATAACAACAGGCTATAAGTGTGGGTAATGATGTGGGTACCACCTGCAACTGTAAGGCAAAAAATAGGACATGTACACATCAAATTCACTTTTGACCCAAAAATATTTCCTTGTTTCTTTGACAGTCCTTTATTAATTGATAGGATGGTGGTACAAGAGAACAAGGCAACATTGTTGACATGAAGCCATTATGTTTGCATACGTGTGTGGCTTTGTTTCTGGCCTCAGAGGCTAGCTGCTCTGGGTCCGTTTACCACATCCCACACTGAATTATGATCTGCTAAATGTCAAGTTCATATGAAAAAAAAAACCACATTAACAGCTACAGCTAAAAAGGTCAAGTACATCATTACCAAACAATGGATAAATGACAAATGTTTGTGAAGGGATATATGTATGAGGTAAGAGCTTACCCAGTATGTCCAGGTGCTGCAGTGAGGGGCAGCTGGCGGCCAGCTCCTCTATGTCTGGGTCGCAGACGGTGCGGTTGGCGGTGAGGAAGAGTTTACGCAAACGGGGCAGATTGCGGGCGAGGTGCTGGAAGCATCCGGTGCTGCTCTGCAGTGTGGGACACCAGCCCAGGTCCAACTCCTCGAGCATCCTGAGCAACCACAGACCATGCAGGAGAGCACTGGGGTGACTGGGGTTCACTGAAAACAGATATGCTCTGCTTTGGCTCTGTGGTCTACAGCTACGAGACTGAGTAGTTCCTGTTCAGAATGTGCTAACTGTATTAAAGGCTGCAGTCTAAATGAATGGGGCTTAATGATTAATTGTGTTGCCTTTTAAAAACTGAAAATAACTATAACACAAGGTAATCACTGAGAATATTTACAGCCTTTACTAGTCTCTACATCGTATTTACAATGCATAGTGAGACATCTCATCTGCTATACTGTTTACAGCACAAAGAAGCTGTTTAAGAACAAACAAAACAAAAAAGATGGAAAAATTACTTAAATCTTGTTTATTGTCCTCAAGGTACACCAGCACACACTTTACAGCACTAAACACAATGGTATTGCCTACCTGCAGCCAGAGACGAGCTCAGCCAGGCCTCTATCAGTCAGGTTTCTACAGCGCCACAGGTCTAGTGAGCACAGTGAACGACAGCGAGCAGCCAGCATACTGGCCACAACGTCGTAATCCTCGATCTGCAGGAGAGACAGGCGGTAGTTATCATCTATTTATGCTCTTTCCAGCATGTGCAGTGTGTTTCAGGCTTTATGGAGCACCTTTGGAGGGTCCACGTCAACTTTAAAATGGACCCTTAAAATATACAACTTTGCAGCAGCCTCTTCAAATGCTGCAAGTAAATCAGAGGATATGATTTGTAAATTATTATGTCTGTCATAAGCAACATTATTTAGAGGCAGAGATTCTGCGATCTTTGCTTCAGATACCATAAAATGCTCTTTCTTTTTGTGACACAGTGACGCAAAATTCAATAATTTGTCTTTAGGGTGTCACACAGGACTGAGAAAAAGATGCTGTGAGAAGGAATAAAGTAAGTTGGTAGCCATTTCGCTCAAATGGTCTTTTGTATTTTGAGCAAACTTTTGAAATGTAGTGATAATAAAAAAAGCTGATTAGCTGTATCAGCTGGTTTGAGGGACATAACCGGAATTCCTCAAGAGAGAAGAAAGCACTAACAGGGAACACCTTCACCAGAAAATAAATGAAATTGTCTTTCAAGAACTGATTTGTGTTTGCGAAGCTGTTATTGTTCTTTGGTGTCAGGTAATGTTGGCCATATTTCATCCTTTCATCCAAAGATGAAAGCAAAGAAATTCAATTTAACAGCCACACAGCCAGTGCAGGCACCTTACCCAGAGAAATGACAGCATGCAGAACATTTCTCTGAGTTAGAACTGAAAGGATATTAAAACTTTTGGCTGTGGTTGCTGTCATTATGTAGTCCCATTGCCAAGAGTTGCATAGCTTCATTATCAATGATGACACATGATGCCTTAAAAAGGATGAAACCACTGAAATTCTCACTCACTTCCTGTATCATAATTTGCATCAAATATCCATCAATTGGATGTGAACTCAGCTAGTGACAAGGCGGGTGGGTGAGTTACTGAGTGAATCCGTCATTCAGAGATCAGGTGAATTTGCAAATTAGACAGTCCGTAAATGAGACGAATATGTTTGTGGTGATTTTTCCTCCCTTTTTGAATTATCTTTTAGAAAGATACTGCATATACTAAAAGGCATTGGATCCGCCCCACCACTATCACCATGATGAATTTAACATTTACTAAAATGCCTCATTTGTTAAATCTAATTAATGCTGAATGTAAAAATAGTTTGACATTTTATAGAAATTTTGTTAAGTTAGGTGACAGGATCATAAGGTTACTGCCACTTAATGTGTGAAGCACTGTGTTTTACATTTTGATGTATAAAAAGTGCTATACAAATACAGTCTGACTGATTGATTGATTGATTAGTGAGCTTTAGAAGTGCTGGTAGGTGGATTTTGTTACCTTCAGACAGAGCCAAGCTAGCTGTTTCTCTGTTCCCAGTTTAATACTAAGCTAACTGACTGCTGGCTGTAGCCTTGACAGGTATGAGAGTGCCATCAATCTTCTCTTGAAATCTCCACTAGAAAATTAATAAGCGCATTTCCAAATATTCCTTTAAGCATTTGGAAACCTTAAGATAGAAGATTTGGCTGTTAAAAGCCTATCAGCTTCATTATTTGTGTAAAGTGAAAAAATCCAATGTATCAAGGCTCAGGGGTATTTGTGTCCTGGTTGGTGTCCGTACTGTGTTGTATTATACTATGTGTCTATTAGTTCACTGTTTAGCTGTGTTGTGAAGTGAGGCTGAAGCCAAATTTCGAGCCAAGGATAGAGAATAAAGTATTCACTTAAATTGTGTTCAGTTAATTATCACTGGCCTCCTTTATTTTACACCCAACCAGTTTGTTGTTAGCAGCTCAATTACTGCAACACTACTGATGTCTCTGCCATCTTTTGGACAAGCTGCTATTAAACAAGGACACATGGAGGTGTGTGTGTGTGTGTGTGTGTGTGTGTGTGTGTGTGTGTGTGTGTGTGTGTGTGTGTGTGTGTGTGTGTGTGTGTGTGTGTGTGTATTCTCACCCTCACACAGCTCCCTAGGTTGAGGTGTCTCAACTCTGTGCAGAAAGTCAGGATGCTCAGAATAGCTGTTTGCTGCAGAGAAAAGAGAAAGACAAAGAGAAAGACTTGTAGACTTGTCATTTTATGACCCATATTATATCTTATATTATAAAATCTTAACCATTTCCATTAACATAAAAAATCTAAAAACCTTGCACTCGTGGCATCACAAGATAAAATTAAACAATGGGGGACAGCACACAGAAAATGCAGAAAAAAAGGAACTTCACTTAAAGACATATATTAAAGGACCAGTGTGTAGGATTTAGTGGCATCTAGTGGTGTAGTTGCAGATCGCAACTCCCTTGCTTCACCCTCCCCTTTAAAGCATCAAGGAAAATTATGGTGGTCACGAAATGTGCGAAAAACGTGAATGCTCCTATCTAGAGCCAGTGTTTGGTTTGTCTCTTCTGCGCTACTGTAGAAACATTTCAATATGGCAACATGACTCCATGGAAGGCTACCCGCGGTGTCTGTAGATATACATGGCTCAATTCTTATTATACACTTATAAAAAGTATGTTATTATATTATTTGGCATATTATATTCCATTTCCGCCAATTTCTTCCTGCTGGACACAAGATGTCTCCTACTTCACTGTAAAGTCCATTCTCAGTGGATGTGCACCGGTGGCTTCAAGTTTATACATCACACTTATATATAAGTTTCACACTGGACCAAGATTGACTTCCTAACTATTTGTGATGTCACATATCACGCTCATAGGCCCTGCCCCTTCAAATCAGGTTTTCAATGAACACAGAGAAACTTTCCACATTCAGCAGATGAATGTGAAAACATTGTTCTAGTGTCAAACTCTGCACATACAGCAATCTGCACAGGGAAGATCAAACATCCCACTGTAGGAACAAGAAGGAAAACATATTTTTCTGGATGGGGACTTTAAATAGCTGCTGTATTGGAGTCACATGTTCAACAACAAAAATAAAACCCTTATCTTATCTGAGTGTAAATCTTAAAAGGTATACATTAGTGTCCAGTCATGTCATCCAAGTTCCTCCTAAGCAATTTCCTGTCTGCTGCCTGGCACACTCAGTTAACACTTATTGTATTTAAGGGAATTTAATATGGCACAACAGATAGTTTTTACGTCTCCTCAGAGTCGAGCACAGTGAGGACAGACACCTCTCCAGTGGCACTGCAGCTTAGATAGAGATATGGGAATTCAACACTGCAACTGCCAACACATGTACCTCAGTGGCAGGAGAAAGTGTGAGACATGAAAGTGAAAGCCTTTTGTGCCAGTGTGTGTTTGGTGTGTATGTGTGCTCGAGTCTGTCGCTGGCATCTTTATAAACGCCTCTCTCCGGCGAGCTAGCCATTTAATTAGAGCAGTGACAGGGTAATGACAGCTGAGATGTCAGGACCTCAAACAGACACACAGCTCACTCTGTCTGCCCTGGTATAAACAACCTGCAGCATGCTGCCTGGCTCCACCGCAGAAACTCTACACTGCCTCCTGCCCACAACGCCGCTCTGAAACATGACAAACACTGGAGAAACACTGAGGAGCAACACCAAAACACAAGACAGCGGTTTTTACACGTCAGACAGGCCTGAACCTGAACATATGCAGTACGTGTCTTTTAGGCCCGCTAGGCTCAGAGTTGACTCAGTTCATTTTAAACACAACAACACAGAATGAGCTACACCCAACACAAAACATGCTTGTGGAGATCATTAGTACTACATTATGGCAGAGCTTCTGAAAGTTGTATTAAATTGAAGTTAAACCTTTACTATACATTTATTTTCCTATTAATGAAGCTATTTTACATGTATAGAACTAACTGCAGTCAGAATTTAACCTCTTCAGGACTTCAGAATGACACAATCTGAAAAGTGAACATCACTCTTTCTGCTCAAAGACCTATTGTATCCATCCTGTGACAAGGGGTTGTGGGTAGACATGACTTGTCTGTATAAGGGAAACCACTAAGCTAAATCATTAATGGTTCGGTGAGACTAAGCTTACTGTATTTTACTGTAGACATACTGTGGTTTACACCTGAAATGTTGCAAGCTACCCAGCAGAAACAGCCATATAAATACTGTTTTGTTCCTAACAGTCACAGGTGAAGATGCAATCATCTCTTCTACCAATACACATTTGTTCCGCAGAACGTCTAAAAGCCAAAGAGAAAATAATTACCACTACAATACAATTAATACTAAGAACTGCCCTGAATTGTGAAGGCAAAAATAAAGCAGCAGGGAACAAGGACTGACGATAAAATGGCTTTCAATTTCGCTGCAAAGCTACGATGCTCATGTTATTGTCACGCAGACACGTTTGACATCCAAGCATGTCTTGTCTTTTCGCTATTGGTAAGCCTTTTGTCTGCCTTGTAATTAGCATACAGATGTGATTTATCCATCTGTATGCTAATTAGCCTAGCATCTGATCTTTAGTACTTAATGATTTTGGTTTCTTGTGCTCTTCACCAGCTTACATCATAGCTGTGATAGAGATACAGCACATGGGAAATGTGCTAGTAACAGTCGTAGAAAAGTAAGGCAACAAATAAAGTACTGATATTGTGCTAACACTAAAACAGAGTTCAATTCAGGACTTGTGAAAAGATTGGGAAGTTTAGCTTTGCATGTCTAAAAGGTAACTAAGCAACCTGTATATTCCAATATTACAAGCAGCAAGGTCAACCAAACATATCATTAACCAAGCAACAGTCTACCTGCTGTATTTGGACAGGACAGATGTAAGTGATTGTGGTTTCCCAGATACACTGTTGACCGTGCCTACCTCTATCTTGGTCCGGTAGAGCACCAGCCTGCGGAGACGTGTTAGTTTGGAGATATGTGCAAAGGCCTGCGGGTGGAGGCGGTCGCAGGAGGACAGGTTGAGCTCCTGCAGCCCAGGACAAGTCTGAGAGATGACCTCCAGACAGGCCTCATTCAGGAAGTGGCAGCATGACAGCTTCAGGCAGACCAGGCTGAGACCACAGGCCTTCATGAAGCTAAGGGGAGGAATAGATGGAGAGGGAAAGACATGAGTGGAAGCAGAGAGGGATAAATTCATCTCACGTCAGCAACACAACAGTCCACCTGTCCCTATATTAGACAATAAGGTTAGTGTCCTTTCATACAATTTATATTGTTTGTGTCATGATTACAGAGAAAGTTTCAACCCATTTTCTTTGTCTAAGTATGTCCCCTCCTTCAAAACAAATGCTTGTGACTATGTGCTTGTTTTTCCAAGGTCATCCCTGTTTTCGAGCACTTGCGGCCCGCTGACAGTCTGACCTGCTGAAGCCAGTCAGGGTGAGAGCTCCACGGTTGCCGGTCCAGGACAGGTTGAGCCTCTGGAGGAGGGTGCAGCGGCTCTGCAGGTGTCCCAGGGAGGCGTCACTCAGCCGGCACCAGTAGGGCTGCAGACTCAGCTGGGTGTACTGCAGCGGGTCGCAGCAGTGCTGGTGCAGCAGCTTACAGCTCTGGGCCAGACGGCTGAGGTCTGGCAGGGTCAGGTGGCTCACAATCAGCTGGATGAGCTGTGGATGGAAGATGGGGAGAGGGGTTAGGAGAGGAGCGTAGAAAGGAAGGGGGGAGATCAGGAGGGTGGGGTGGGGTGGGGGGGTTGAAGCAGAAAAAGGAGAGACAAAACATAAGACCTGATACGAAAATACATAACATTAAAGCGCAGAAGAACCTAGTAGAGAACAGAGAATAACAGAGTAGAGAATGTTAATTGCGTCCCCTGTGTCATGCAGATCTAAATAGTGGTTATCTGGGACACAAAGCACTGATAGCAGGATCAGTGGCGAGGTGAGGCGGCTTGTTTTGCACTGTGTTCGTGTGCCTCTCAAAGAGAAAGAATGACTGTGCTTGTGTGAGTGTGTGTTGCAGTGAATTAACAATACACAGTGTTCAAGCGGGTATCAGCTGACAGATAATAGCTATATTGTGTTTCTGAAACAAACACACAGCGGTTGTGAAGACTGCTGTTAATGGCAGCGGTTTGGAGAGGAGATAAGAGAACAAATATCAAGAGTACTGCCGGTGTTTTGAAGCTCGCCTCAGACAACACGATATGTCTGCGTGGCATGAAAATGACTGTGTCCGTGAGTGCATGCAAGATCAAGTATCAGAATGGGTCCAAGCAACAATGTTCATGTGTTTGTGTGGAATACTGGGAAATACAGTCTACATTTACACTCGGGGAGATGATGATTTTAGGGCTAGCTGCTGCTAATGACCTTAAGGTTTACTGTAAGTTATGACTGATCATAATCAGCAGTGAACTTATTCAAATGATTCTGAGAATGTAAATAATGCTGTATTCTTAGGGGTTAAGGAGACAAACTGAGGCTAAACTGATTTTTCCATTTATGTCAGGCAAATTAAATGGATGCTGAAACAATTAATCGATTAGTTGTTTAAAAAAAAAAAATGTACATATATACATTCAGCTAATCATTGTTAATGGATTAAAAGTAATTTATCAAGCAAAAATGCCAGACATTCTCTGGTTCTTGCTTCTTAAATTTGAGGGTTTGCTGCTATTGTATTATATATCATTGTAAACTAGATTTTTGAATTCTTGTCAGAAAAAAAGAAAAAACAAGAAATCAAAGAAATAAAGATGGTACTTTGGGCTCTCTTATTATGGAAATTTGTCAAACATAGTAAAAAAATTAATCAATAATTGAAAATAATTGTTAGTTTTGGGCCTACAGTGCATCATAGCATGTTAACAAGCGAACTCAAAATGCACAACCCTGTGAGATGTAGGAAAATAAATACAGACATAGATATATATATATGTATATGAGATTTAAAACATTAATAGAGCATCAAACAACGGTTTGCTATGTAAATATAGGGGTGTCCTGAGATGAAAATGACATCACAGTCCCCTTTGCCTGTGTTGCAGACATGCTGGCTGTGCTTTTTTTACACATTCAGTCTGGCCACGAACTGAGGAGAGCTTTGGAAAGAGATTAACGACGACAGTTTTGGTAAGTCTGATTTTGTTTCTGTCCAGTTTGAAGTTGGTGTGTTAGTCTAGTTGGCTGTAACGCCCATTGTTTTGATCTGAGATGCTGGTGCTCTAGTGCAACATCCAGTGGTGAGGTGAAGTGAATTTTGTATATATATATATAACCTTTAAATGTGAGGGTTTTATCTATTTTATATCATGTAAATTAGATGGGTTCGAAAAACATTGGGTTCTCTTGTCATGGGCAGCAACAACAGATTAATCAATACATGAAAATAAATGGTAGTTTCGGGCCTAAAATGCACCAACATCATAGCATGTTAACAAACGTTAATGCACAACCCTCCGTGAGCTGTATGAAAATACATTCAGACATTCAGATTTAAGCACGAGCATCTGGAAAACCTCTGCCTGGAAGCTTGTGTAGTTAATTGACAGGAACATCTGTAAATTTGTAATGTTTCTAAAATAACATTATACAATTAAAGTCAAATTCAAGTTTATTTTGGTGCTTAAATCCTAATGGCACCTATACACCTGCTTTAAGATGTACTGGCACTGTTTTACACGGTACTCTGTGGAGTCTCAGTGTGTTTTTTTTTTTTTTTTTACCTGTAGCAGCACTATGGAGCAGTATTTTTATGAGTGGGTCCCCATTTTGTTTGTCTCATATACACACATGAGGACACATATAAGTGCGCATGTGCACGTGGGTGATGCCAATGATTTCATATTATTCCACTGATTGATAGGTGCCAGTAAAGTGCCAACAAAAGCAGCACTGCACCAATAAAAAGGCAGTGGAGAAAGAGACTGCAACCTAGTAAACAACGCAGGATCTGAAACACAGGAAATTATTTATAAGGAAGGAAAAGCATTCTACACACAGTGAGTAACACAGAATGTAAAAGTAACTTTTGTTGAAATGAAAACTTCACAGGGTATTTATTTAATGGTAACCACTAGTATTAATAAGGGTGCCAGTAGAATGGTGGGACCTCCATACTTGGCCAAATACAGCAAACTGATCACTGGAAGGACCCAATATTTAGAAAATTAGCATTGGTCAAAAATACCGCTATCCCTACTAGGAGTTACAGGATCACTTTGGAAGAGCAAAAAAGCTATTTTGTTGTCCTGGTCTGTATCTACTCTTTCACCCTGGCCTGAGTGATTCAGTGCACACATCTTTAAGGTCTGTAATCACCTCATATGGCAGTTTGTCAAAGTAGCCATTGCCTGTTCTCTGAAGCTTGCCGTCACCTCCTTGTCTGAATGGACCTCCCACATCAGACAGCTCCTCCTCGCTGTCACTCAGGTCACTAATGTCGATGACAGGCATCTTATAGAGGGCCAGCATGGGCCTCTCTTTCACCCCGCGCAGGATAACAGCGTCCAGCTCCGTGTAGTAGTCCAACAGAGAGCTGTTGACCTCCAGGCGCAGCAGGTTGGTAGGGAAGTTGATGTGCTTTATGTTAGGGGAAAACTGGCGTGCCTGGGGTGTTAGCACCTTGGTGGGCTCTCCTGACCACAGCACCTCCCACCTGGACAGAGGAAAGTGTATGCAAGAGTTTTATTGTAAAGCCACAAGTGGGAACCTTCCATTACACTTTTTCCCCCCCTGAAAGTAGGACCAATAACACTTTTGATTAGTGGGCTGCAGTCGACCTATTGTATTGTACACACCATCTATTGGAACTATAGTCATTTATATAAAGTCAACATTGGCACTATAATGTTTTATAAGGCTTTATAACAACTGACCATATTCCTGATCCATTCAGATTACATACCCTGACTCTCGTCTCACATTTTCAGCTGTTGGCTGAGTGTTCCTAAGCTTGTTTTGTGTGCTCCATGCACTGAATGAAATGTACAATGACATCTGTGAAAAAAAAATCCTTGGTGGTGAACAACAACATGACTCACTCACAACTTCACAGATTTTCATGATGGGCAGTGATGAACTATTGTAGTTCTATTCTGCTATCCACACTGTTGTCTTACAGGGGATATGAGTAATACTATTATTACAGTATGATTATGAAGTAGGACTCTAATAGTTTTACACATTGTTTAAAGGTCCCGGTATGTTACAATCCAGTTACAAATCCATACTATTTTGGTAATGTTAAGGAGGCTATATTGTAGAACCACGCAGCGATGTGCAGCAATTAACTTTCTCTGCTGACACCAGACCAGCCAATCACATTTGAAAATTAATTTATATGTAGGATGATGACCTTGTATACCTACCCAGTGCCCCTATTACAGGTATATGGTGCCAAACAGACAAGCTTAAAAGAAGCAAGGAGGAAAAGAAAATGCAGTACATCCTTCTTTTTAAAAAGAACTAGGGCTGTAATTTAAGATTGTATTCATTATTGAGTAATCTGCATATTTTCTAGATTAATGAATTAATCGTTTGGTCCATAAAATAGTGACAACTGTCAATCCCAGTTTCTCTGTCTTTGCATGTCTGGTTTTATCTGTCCAAAACTCAATGACAGTCAGTTTAATATGATATTATATAAAACAGAGAAAAGCACTAAATCTCCATATTTGAGAGAACATAAAACAGACAACAGCAATTTTTGCATGAAAAATGACTAACAATCAATCAGTTATCAAAATAGTTAGCCATCATTTTTCTGTCGATTGATTAGTCAACTGATCGCAGTAAAACAAGGAACTGAAGTTCATAATAATTACATGACTGTCCAACACTATTGCATGCTGTGTGATTAAAAAAAAAAAATGTAAGTGTGAATTATGTCTTAAAATGTATGACAATATATCTTTTTTTTTACTTGGAAAAACAACTGCCCACAGAAATCTGGCTAAAAATCCAATTTATAAGTCAATGACTAAAACTATTATCCTCTGTGGAATACAAAGATGTGGCAAAATTGCACAAATTACAAATTGGGACAAATTGGGACTTGGCTCACAGTGTAATTTCAGTGCTGTGCAAGAATATGCACCTCAAGGCTGTTTAAAGAGAGCAGCTCTGCCAGAGTAATAACAGTTGGCCCTAATTCAGGTTAGGTTCACAGTTAATGCTGATTTGATCAGGTTGGTTCCACAAAAGTAACTCCTGGTACTTTTTCCACAGCACCTTAAAGGGTCATCAGAAGGCAAAATCATATCAGTCCATTTATCAATAAAATACCATTTTCTTATCTTGCACAGAATGATGTTCACCTTTCAGGTATTACTATATTTTCACCTGCTGTGGCTTTCCCATGTTTGAACAAAAAATAAAAGATACATTTTTTTTATCCAACTCAAGTGAACCAATGAAGCTGTTATGTATAACTAGAACATTAGCTAAAGATGATTTTTCACCTTATATTGAAGGATGATTGCCCACTCTGCTCTTTATTATTTTACCATTCATTTTCTGTTAGTGAGGAGAGATGTGTTTTTTCTACATAATTTTACTTTGCACCAATACAAAAGGTTTCCAACACCCATTTTCACTCAGAGTCCTCTCCAAGAACACCAGTTGACATGTCAGTGGTGCATTTGTTGACCAACCACTGGTCAAACTACACTGCTTACAGTTTTCTATTTAGACTATTATCACTACAAACTTCAGGTAGGGCTGGGCGATATAGCTGAAAAAGTCATCATAATAAAATGTTTCATTTCAGTCAATATCGATAATTATTGATCATTTTTAATGCAATTTTTAAGAAAAAACAGGTGGAAAAAAAGGTTGAATTTAAACACCTTACTTTGTATTTAACCACTTTATTCATCACAGGTAATAATGTTAATGTCAATGTATGGTTATATGGTATTGTTGCTGAGTACTTCAACATTGTGGACTGCCTGTGGATTGTTTCTTGAGATGTTACAGATGTAGGCTGTAACTGACAACATGTTGCATACAGCCTGCTCCATTATGAAGGGATATGATAGGCTGTTTATGAGCCAGGGCATACTTGTTATGTCCTTTCATGGCAGTTTGCAATCAATGCATGATTTAAGTGAAACTATTGATATACTATTGAACAATTTTCTTACTGCCATTGATGAAATGTCTATTGTTGATACATATTGCTATCATTTTATTGCCTAGGCCAAACTTCAGGGGCAATTACATTTGCACCTTTGGATTCATTGGTAGCAGATAGCAGATAGCAGATAGCAGAAACTTGAGAGCCACTCTGCTACACTGTGGGGAATTAAAACAATTTCCTGAAGTAGTCTAGAGCCCTTTTTTAATTATGTGTTTTACAAACAATGTATAATAATGAAGGGAAGCCAAATTGATGATGAATACAAATGCTAGGAATCAATTTGTAAGAGCATAATAATGTGAGTAATAAACACAGAGTAATTCAAATAGTGCCTGGTCTCCAGGGTTCAATTGTGTGTACCTGCTGGTCTTGCATGGTTTTCTTAGTAGTGGTAATTAACTAAACATTCTAGTACAGCCCTGAGAGAATGACTGCTGATGGTTTTCCAATGTCTTTACCTGACATCAGTAGGTGGGTTCTGGGAGAAGGGGTTGTGAGAGCAGGCCAGAATCTGGACAATGGCTCCAGGGTAATAAGTCTCAAGCACTTCCACTGCTGTAGGGTAGACAGGCTCTTCGAAGCCCAGTTCAATATAATCCTGGCTGTGGAAGCCTTTAGGCGTGCGGCGGAAAGGTGGTGGAGCACTGGCACATTGTTCCCACCACGTCCCATAAGCTCTGAACACGGCCGTCTGAGTAAAGTCCCCTGAGCTGGGGTAGACGTTGGGTACCCCGGCAAGGTTCCACATGGTGTAGGACATGCTATTCTCACTGCCATAGTGGGAGCTGAAGTCGAGAACCTCCTTGGCATACTGCTCCACCTCCACACTGACTGGCAACACTGCCCGCTGGCCGGACTCTACGGCTCGCCGACTGGTCAGAGCCTCTCCTCGAGTCCCACTCCTGGAGCGTCGCCGCAGACAGATATAGTAAAACATGCTCAAGAGGGTTAACATAGGGAACTCTGGGGCTGATTGGGACAGCGGGGAGAAACGGAGGCTAGAGGGAGGAAGAGCCTCCACCTACTGGAAGCACACTGCCTCAGGGGCTGGGGGGGGACGAAGCGCAGGCTAGAGGCCTGGCGGCATGCATGACCTGTGGGTTAGGCAGAGACAAACATACACAAGTGAGAGGAGCATGGTCTGAGGCAGCAAAGACCACAACTCCTGCTTGGTGCTGATATAAATAGTTTCAAGCAGGAGCTGTTGGACATTCTGAGTGATTACACCTATCCATTTCACAAAATATGTTTAAAGGGAGGAATGTGTTTCAACCTAAACTTTTAGCTTAATGTAACTGAAAGCTTTCCAAAATACAAAAACATGTCCACAACTAAAAACATGTAAATCAACAGTCTCTTGCCTACTTCGTGCACTTAAGGAATACTTTCAAAGGACCAAAGTTAATGGAGAGTGAAGGCAAAGCTTATTGATGGGAGGTGTAGCTTTTAAGGCTTATTTTCAGACAGGAACATATCATCCTGTCATAGATGGACTCCAGTTACTTAAGCAAACAGCTAGCATTAGTGTGATGCATGGTGAGCCTGCCTATCTACAGCTGCCACAGTAACCTTATCATCGAAAGGTACCTAGTACCACTGCTTACGCATGCCGGAAGAAATGCCCATTTCTATTAACGACCAGTCTTCATGATAACAACATGCAGACAGCGAGCTACGCTTGGCAGACCAGTTTATCAGGTCAAACTGGAAAAGCCAAAATGCATGTTAACACCCCAAAACCATCAAAAAAAAAACTATCCTAGGTACTTCTTCACTTCCTCAATGGCTGATATCCTGCAGGTTTTTGCAACCTGACAGACAAGATACTAAATACCTGGTGTCAGGAAGACAAACACCAACAGTGGCTTATTGACTTTTACGAACACTGGACTGGCAGAAACAAAAACCTGCAGGACCCCAAATCTGGGATCTGACAACCCTGCTATACAGGTTTTAAACATGACTTGTTAAAGTGCACCAGTTATTCCTATTTTAAAATCAAACAGCCACACTGCTGTAGGCTGCAGAAGCAATGCACATTCACATTATCTTAAAGGAACAAGCTAGGACCCAAATGTAAACAAAGGGAACATTCCCATCAGGAGTATTTTAAACAGGACTGGAACCACTGCTATCGATCCCAAACTGACTGACAGGTATTTTAAATACTGGGCCAACACTAGAGGACAATTACATTAAAGTTATCAATGGATATAAATCTGGTAAAGTTGTAGCATGAATGCTTTGATACGCACTGATATAAAACGTTACACATACGAGATAAACACATAAATTCGCTTTATCAATACTACTGAGAATTGTCACTAACTTTAAGCATTAATTATGTTCTGTAATGTAATAAATGTTCTTGTTTTTCTCCAAAACCCCTTGGCTAACTTTTTACAACCTCACATTACATTAACGTAAATGTAGTTAGCGTTAAGCTAGCTTAAACGTTACGAATAAACTGTTGCTTCTGAAGATCGTAATGTTACCTCAGTAACTACACTAACGTTACAATGACTATGAGTGAAGTAGCTAACACTAGCCAGGAAACATGAGCTGCCTCTCCCAGCTGAACGTTATGTTGTTGGTGTTGCTGTTAAATAGCTAGTGTTAGTTAGCCGACGTTAGCTAGGTAGCCTACAGACCAGCTGAGCTGTCAAAACAACAACAGTTAGCTTGCTTAGCTAGCGTTTCAATAGGCAACCAAAGAGGACGGGACACAATTTACATTTACGGTAAACGCAGATCGGTGAATCCATTCATGAGGAGCAATCCTCTTCTTCCCTTTAGGCTATTTCAACCACCAAACTAACATTCCTGCCGTTTACCGTGTGGTGCCTTCCCGAACAGTCGGACAATTCACCCAACAATCATGAGTGCACATTAACCTGGAAAATAATGCAGGGAATACCGAAGCATTTTGTGGTATCCAGCTTCTGAGACGTTATGTTTAGAAAACAAAGTGCATTTCGGCAAATGTCGTGTTATCAGTCCAGGATAAAGGCGATAGACAACGCTAAACTGCGATGTTATGCTCTTCATTGAATTGCAGCCGCACTGAACAGGTAAATGTCGGATGATTTTCAAACGATTACGACAGAAAATACATTATGGCTTGTCTATTTCGACAGTTTCGTTCGGAATCATTAAGTACTCGGATTTAAAGAAGTCTGAAATTGGACGGAGAGTTACGTAGGAACATTAAAAGCCTCATCAGTTCCGGACAACAATTGATCAACATCCGGTCAGTATTATTTTTAAGCAAAGCATTCTGGGGACTGTAGTTAGCCTATTTTTTCAGAACATGAGCACTAAATCCATAATGTATTTAGCTGAATGTAATTAATTTAAAATAAATGGTATTATTGCTATTCATATTCAAAAGTATTTAATGATAACTATTTTCAAAAACATTTTCTAGAAGGTAAGGTGTTGCAAATATGGGCTCCTTTGGCAGTATCTTTTTTTCCCACTGCACAGGCAGAGAAATGCCACTGCAGTCAATTGCAGTCTCTCACACAGGGATGGTGACTAAAAAAATCTGCCTAAAGCAGGTTCATCTTTCAGATTCTTTAACTACACATGCTGAATATCACACTACAGAACTTTTCAAAAATACAGGATAGCCTTAATTATTTTGTCCATAATTTACCATAGCCAGCACAGTTTCCGCAGATATTGAGTCTTCTGGTTTATTTTTGATTAACTGGTTTAACGGTGATCACCTTTTCCCATAACATCTAAAATCAGACACGTGCTGGAGTCATTGTTTTACCCTTGCCAAAATGTCTTAAGACATGTCACTATTAATAGTTAATATTAATGTGTTATCGGGAATATATGACATTTGTTCCATTCTTAATTCTAATTCACTCAAAGTGTGCTCATTTTGCAAATACACCCCCAGATGAACTTCTACAAAAGATTGTGCAATGTAATATCTACAATATGTGCAACACAGACCTTCTATATCATGTTTTTATGTCAACAGAGTTTTATTAATTTACAACAAATTAAATTACAACGATGCAGTACTAAACATTTTCACAAAGGGTCATCTTCAGGCAGGATGCAGCAGCAGAGGTTTTGTTGCAGCCAACTGAAGAAACAGCTGAATCCGTTCATCTCTGTCTTTTTGACCTCTGAAAAACAAAAGAGGGCAGTCAGTACCTGAACTCATCACAACACAAGTTACCCCAGTGTAAATGGACCTGATGGCTCAGACAACCTGTTGTGGTGTTGAAGGATGCATCCACCTTGACTGGCTGCCCCATGATCGTCATCTCCTCCTGCAATGTAGACTCATCAGCGGGAGTCAGAGGAGGTGGTGGGGTATAAACCACAGCAGAGTCTGGTTGTGGACTGTGTGCAAGCAGTTCCTCTACTTCCAGACTACAGTTCAAGCAATTGTGGATGGCTTTGTGGGAAGGAGGTTTAGCACTGGTGGCCAGAGGAGCTGGTGGAGGAGTAATGACAGCAGAGACTGTTTCTCTGCCCTCCACACCATCCAACACGTCTGCTGGCTGGATGTAATCCTCTTCAGTGTTGATATTTACAGAAACTTTTTTGTGAGTCTGAGGAGGAAACAGCGCACAGATCTCTCCTGCTGCAACATCAGCGATGGTGTTCAGCACATCTGCTGCAAAGCAGTTGAGCTTCTTTACCAGGACGTCTTGAGAGTAGCGCTGTCTAACCTTTTCCAGGACCACTTGGTCTCTAAAGGAACGGGAGAAGCAGATTTGAAAGGGCTTTGAGATCAGAACAGCCGAGACCCGGTCCTCAACTGCTTTGGTAACTCCAACAGCCATTTTACTGAGCTTTTGGGAGGGCATGTTGAAGGAGGTGTTTGGAGGAGACAACCAGAAGCCCTGCAGGACTTTTGGCACCACCTCCATCACAACCTCCCGTGTGTGGACCACTTTGGAGCTGGGGGCCTCCTGCTGTTGCTCTGTCAGGATCCTGGCGTACTTCTGGGCCTGGCAGATGATCTTAGGATGTCTGTAGGTTACAGTCATTCAAAGTTAGTTTTAAAATCACTTCAGGACACCACAGAGACATCCCAACCTCTGTACCTGAACTGATAATAAATGTGTGTCAAATATGACTAACCGAAGCTGAGCAGGGACCGCCCTTGGTGAGCTGAGCAGCTTTCTGGCTTCAAACTCAACGTCCCTCATCTTCAGGCTGTTGTTCACCTGGCACACCTGCAACAAGAAGGGAAATCTAATGAGCAGATCTGACATATTTCCAGAATAAATCAACAGTTGACTCCAAACTGCTGTCGAGTCTTTTCAGGATTGTGGTCTTACCATGTTGAGAAGAAGCCTGGCTTCAGGATCAAAGTTCTCCAGTTCCAAATCCCAGAGCCTTCAAACAGAAAGAAACACAAGTTTTATCTTCACTGTTCCTTTCTTCCTCATTACAGACATGTTGGTGTGACATGAGCAGAGATAAGGTCAGGTGTAGTGCCGCATTGTGTGTGTGTGTGTGTGTGTGTGTGTGTGTGTGTGTGTGTGTGTGTGTGTGTGTGTGTGTGTGTGTGTCTGTGTCTGTGTCTGTGTGTGTAGTAACTCACTGCACTCTCAGAGTGTTTTTGCTCTCCTCCACCAGCAGCTCACTCATGTCTTCAGCAGTCACCTCAGATGGGAGTTGGTTATTCTTCTGAAGTCTCAAAAGTTCAGTCTCCAGTGCGATCTAAACAACATACAAGAGATCACGTCTTTAGGTTCAAGTACAAGTACACAGTTAATGAAACTTTACCTGCTGTTTTATTTTGGTGTAGACATGAAAACTATAGTGGGTCTTACCTGAGACTTATAGGAGCCGGTGTGCCAGCAGATCTTCAGAGCCTGCTCATATATGGGTGTGTCAAACAACACCTATGAAGGAAACAAGATAATGTTCATCATTAGTTTGTTATTCAGAGCTTTAACTCCATCTGAAAAATGTAAAAGTACTCAGTTGAGTAAAAATACACTCTCACATACCCTGATGGGTCTGTAGATGCCTCTACTTCCTTCTGTAAACTCCATGGATATTTTATTGCTGTAAAATAAAATACAGAAAAGGTTTGACAGTCAGAGTGACAACAAAATTCTCACAACGGTTTTTCAGTTCAATGGTAAAAGAGTACTCAAACAGTTGATCCTCCACACACAAATGAACAACAATGTACTGTTGAGAAATATTGCACATCACCACTCATTCTCGGACAAGTTGAATTGTTACTTCCAGTAAGACTGACGTCAATGACATTTGTTTCAATGATTAAATATAAATATCCAAAAATGATAGTTAGGTAGCACAGTCAAATAATCATACAGAGCCTGCAGATAGTGAGTCAAGGCTGCTAATAACAAAATGATAACAGAAGAAACAAGGTGTCTATTGGTGTGTCAATGTTAGGTATTTAATAACAGACTGAATACTACATGGAAGACTGTTCCAAACTCGAGGCACTAGAATACAGCACAGAATTGATGACCCCTTGATGTGTTTTTTTTTTAAATAAAAAAAAGTGTAATCAGTGCAAATAAACTAAAATTGAGGTGACATGGCAGGAGTGTTTGATCTTTGACACTTGTCAATTGTACTCAATTTGAAGCTGCTAGAGCTTAAGCCTTAAGGGTTAAATAGATAAACAAGATGGTGCAATGGTCAAGGTGCAAGGAGATAAAAGCACAAATGATTTTGTCAGTAAGGACAGCATTGCTCAGATTGTGAAAACCATAACTGAATATGCTCTTAGAACACTTCATAAGTAGTGGATGAGTTTGTGTGTAGAGTTGCTGAAGGCAAATTATTTGGATCTCTGTTTTATCAGAGTTAAATTGCAGAAGATTCTGTCACATCCAGATGTCACAACTGGTTCGAGCAGACAGGAACCCAAATGCAGACAATAGAGGCAGAACTGGTGCAGATCAATGATTTATTAACAAAAAAGAGAAGATGCTTACAGGATCATGAGGCAGGCAAGAACCAAAGCCAGACATGCAGTCCAGAACAGACAAACAGATCCAAAAAGGAGCATGCAGAAAGCCGAAGTCCAAATAATCAGGCAGGAGGTCAAACGGACTGGTCAGGCAGGCAGAAACAGGTTCAGGTTTGGGTTTCACTTGAACACAAAGGCATGAGGTACATGGGAGCTTTGAGAAGCTGGCAGGGTACTGATGGAAATGAACCAGTATATACTGCTACAGGGCTGATTAGGGGAAATGGGAAGCAAGGAGATGGGCGGGGAGGTCAGGTGGGAGTAGAGGTAAAGGGATTATTGCAAGGCAGGTGAGGGAAAGTGGAAAAGTCTGAGGGCATCTGGTGGATGGAAGAAGAATGACAATGAGGGCAAGAAAATGCACTGGAATGTGGGAAAAGAGAGATGACTGAAGGGTGGGAGAGAGAGGAAGAATGTCACTGTATCTGCTGCATAGCGGTGGCAGCAGATGTTGTGAGGATTTTCCCCAAAGTTAGGATAAAGGAGAACAAAACTGTTGCAAGAATTGATCCTTGTGGTAAAGCACATGTTTTCTCTATACTTGGAGAAATGAGTAAATCATCACAAACAAACAAACCATTTAAATCCAATTAGTGCCAACCTAGGGCTGTTCCAGATATACCCAACGATTGTTTTAGTATATAATTAGCATGATTAACAGTGTCAAAGGCTGCACATTAAGGCATCAATCAGAGCACTCTCCAGTATCTGGTCATCAATAAATCAGGGGTAGCAAGCAAGCTTTTTCATTGCTGTGTAGTTTGCAAAACCCAGACAGAAACTTTTCAAACAGTCTGTTGATATTGAGCACCTCCAACAGTTGTTTCAACAATAGTCCAGATTACAGAGAAATATTTAAAATGTGGAGCACAGGGCCAACTGGATGTGTCAATGAGAGCTTCCAAACCAATGGTTTAAAGTCAATCCTCTTGCATGTTTAATTTCAGCCTGTCCAATGCTGGATGCTATTTGAGAATTTAAAAGTTTTATAAACAAGAGCCAATATTATTTCATGGCTATTATATTTGCATGGCTAACAGCACAAGACAACATCAAATTCAAAAAGCTTCTTCTTTCTTTTAGAGTAAATGGCAAGTATGTAAGCATTACATCTGTATTTGAGTTTTTCAGTTGTGAATTATGAGTAGGAAAATAAAACAAAACTTTGTGTTGTTTAAGCTTTTGCCACAGTGCCAAAAGAGATGTGTGTTTCGTTGTCGATCAATCTTTAGACAAGAGTACTGCAGAACTGAAGCAAAGACAACATGACTGTATTTTTTCATCTGGTGGTGGAGGTAACTAATGTGGTATAATAAGAATATCAAAAGCCAAAATCAGAATGTGAGTAAAAGTTGCAGCACCGTAGTTTCTTCTTTGTGCTTGGCAAGGGAGTGAAGCAAAGGAGCTGTGATCTCCAACTACACTGCTGTATGCCACACATGAACATACACCGATCAGCCATAACATTGGGCAACCTGATGGTCATAATGTTCTGCAGACCCATACCAACAAACTGTGATGCACAGTGTGTTCTGACCCCTTTCTATCAGAACCAGCATTAACTGTTATAGCAGTTTGAGCTTCAGTAGCTCATCTGTTGGATCGGACCACACAGGCCAGCCTTCACTCCCCACGAACATCAATGAGCCATGACCCTGTCTCCGGTTCCTTGGACCACTTTTGATAGGTACTGACCACTGCAGACTGGGAACACCCCACAAGAGCTGCAGTTTTGGAGATGCTCTGACCCAGTCGTCTGGCCATCACAATGTGGCCCTTGTCAAAGTCGCTCAAATCCTCATGCTGCCCATTTTTCCTGCTTCTAACACATCAACTTTGAGGACAAAATGTTCACTTGCTGCCTGATATATCCCACCCACTGACAGGTGCCATGATAACCAGATAATCAGTGTCATTCACTTCACTTGTCAGTGCTCATAATGTTGGCTGATCAGTCTACATTCTTAATGTACAATTTTTAATTTAATTTGTTTATAAATTAATCTGTTTTTCAGCCAGAGCTCTCAATTGACATTTGGTGCTTTATCTGAATACTGTTTGTTTCCAGGCCGGAGAGAGTAAAGCTGACATGATGGACAAATCCAGATCAGAATCAGCAAACCACAGCTTGAGAGAGCTGAAGTGAGAAAATATCAGAGTCAAATGGTGCCTGTGTCTTACTGAAGGTGAAAATATGTCAGGTATTCTTTTTTTAACAACAAATGTCACTCTTGGTCAAATTAAGGTTGTCAAGACAACAACAAAATTCTACTTTACTACATTCTGGCATGGCCAAAAAGGGCTTTGTTGGATTTGTCCTCAAAATATTGTCACAATGCTGATAGCCCAGTCTCCAAAATAAAGGCATCCATTTTCTTACCTGCACAATATACATTTAGTTAACAGATTAACATAGTACTATCAGAGGTTGGTCTACCCTGAGGTCTGCTTTTTTGATGAAAGGACCATAGCTTACATACAGTGTGCAGGTGGCATTAACTGCTGTATAAATATGATCATGGAGTTTGGTTCTTGAATGTTATCATAATAACTGAGGAACAATGTGTGGCTGATATACTAAACCATGCCTCAGTTGAGTTGATTTATTTCTCCTGGCACACATCTATCAGACAGATAGAAAAAGCTACTGAAGTTTAACTGTGTGTATTAATGTGTGTTTTTGTGGCATACTTGGGCATATGTTGATTGCAATTGCAACATGTAATCCACATGTTAATTAAAATGTTATGAGTTATGTTAACAGGTATAGTGGCAACTAATGTTCTTTAATTTTTTAATTTTCAATCAATACATTTGGTTCAGTATGTCAAATTTTATTAATTTTAAAAATGGCTTATTTTGTCAAAAACCCAAAGGCATACCGTTAAAATATGAAAGTAATAAACAAATAAATACTCCCATTGGAGAGGCTAATAGCATCCTTATCAGCCACAATAAATGTATTAACAAAGTGCTAGAAAACGTTTCTTAATGGCCAAATAAGCCATTACATATTTTTTGCCAATTTTCTCAGTTAGCTGCTTGCTTTCATGATGCCACTTTATTCTTTAACAAATAGCTTAAATGCAGATACAGTGTAGTTATATCAATAAATAATGCTAATGTAATCTGAATGTGCATGCTGTAATGTAATTTCTAGTGGCGCATTAACTCTAATGGATGTAGCTTTTTCACAGATTTTAAGAAGAGTGTGTTTGTTTTGGAGCTAGCAGTGTAAGTGAAGGGTTTCCACGTGTTAAAAGCCTCTTCTGAGCAGAAGAGAAGCCTCTAACCTCCACCATGAATCTATCCCACCCAAACCCTCCACTCAAAGCCAAGAAAGATAATACAAGTATACAAACCCCAGCTGTCTTTCAAGCATAGTTTTAGGAAAAACTCTCTCTACAAAAATTTCAGCAGAAGCTTATTCTTGTTGGTAACTTTGGCATGTTTGTACGTTCCAGGTGAAGCTTGCAAAAGGAGTGATTAATTAAGGACAACATATGATCATCTCGCAAGAAAGAAAACCACAGAAATGGTGTGTGAGCTGTTCTCCAGAGAAGAGATGGTGATGTCTTCACGGTCTGGGAAACACTCCAATGCCCATGAAGAGTCACAGCTGTGTTGTGCAAAGGTTAAAGCAATTTGTGGTAAGTTATTAGTAGTGAGTTATTAGTCATGATGTATGAGTGGTGTTTTGTTTCCCGGACTCATACTGTATTACAAAGGTAACATCCTTTGTCATGTGGATGTTTCACAAAGCACACAGATCTTGGCTTTGATCATTCTTAAACTCAGCCAGTTGTTGTATCCCTGTGGATCATTTGCTGGATTTGAAGACACCACAGGAGACTGGTGCTTCTTTTAAAATTACATGTGTACATTACATGTGTAGTGGGGACCACTAGAACACCTCACTGTGTCTAGTGTTCCTGAGATTCAATTGAAGGAGTGTATACAAGACCAATAACTTTGAAAACAAGATACACCTATTTTATACATATACTTGTGGAGGGTAAGAAGTCCATAATGATTGGTAAAAATGGGCATTTTTTATATACTGGGGGGAAATCTGTCATGGTCATTTTGTTTTATTGATACAGTCATAAAAAAAAGATAAATAATTATGCCGGTGTACATTGTCTAGTCTGGTAGATATAGTGGCATCATTCCTTGTGCCCAACCATACCAGAAATGAGAGGCTCTTTCACCTTGGTTTTGAATTACTGAATTCAAAATAAAGCGAGAACAAGATTTAATTGGGTTTCATTTCAGGCCTCGAGGCAGTAACAAATAGATAAAATCTGACAGTATGTAGACTTCTGATGAGCTTAATATTGAAGAGGTGTGGATATTTACTCTATAGCTGGTGTGATACAGCTCATTGATCATACTTAGAATATAAAATTATTCTGTACTTGGACTTGAGTATTCAGTGCTCAGCTCCTGTATTTCTTTCTTTCTTTCTTTCTTTCTTTCTTTCTTTCTTTCTTTCTTTCTTTCTTTCTTTCTTTCTTTCTCTCTCTGCTATAACCTCCAGTGAAAGTATTCCAAAGTACATGCAGACAGCAGTCACATGCATATCTCATATTCACACACACACACACACACACACACACACACACACACACACACACACACACACACACACACACACACACACACATACACACCCCGCCCTGTAGGTCTGATAATTAAGAGCCTAATGGATCTTGTGTACGGTGCTGGTCACATTTTGGCTGGCATTTGCATAGATGAATGACTTGTCCAGTCACTCTGTCTCTGCAGTGCACCGAGCCTCTATTGTCAAAACCAAAAGAGCCGAGCGTCTCCACAGACCCGCGGGCAACCAATCACGAGTCCAGCTCTCATTAGCAGGCATCCATTGTGGGTGACAAGAGGAGATAATTACCTTTGACTACAAGAGCTTGTGCTCTCTTTCTCCCAATGGCAACAATGCTTGGCCTCTCATAGAGCCAGTGGACAGCTTTAGAGACACAGAGACCCAGTGTGACTAAATCAGTCTCTTTTTTGATAGCTCTATGACTTGCAAGATGCTTATATTGTAATACTTTATAGTTCTTGAGTATGTTGAATAATCCATTACACTTTGACATCAATGCATTAAATCAACTGCTTGCTACTTATTTCTACAAGTCTCACACAATGCTATGTTTCTTAACAATCCCTCTACCAGTTTTTCATCACTCTGTCTTGATTGATCTCTGTCGGAAACAGACCCATGCAG